GGAAAGAAGAGCAATGAGGTGAGGAGGAGAAGGGAATGGGAGCAGGGAGGAGATTAAGAGGAGGGAAGCAACACTGGACCTAGACTGTCGCCTGCTTGCAGACTGTGGCTTCGCAGCAGGAAGACCTGGAGCCCCCCTTTAGTGACTCACCGTCTCCTAGCTTCACCTTGCCCAGGTAGAGCTCCATGATCTCCTTCCTGCCCTTCATGTCCGGTACGGGAACCTGCACCTCCACGTCGAACCGCCCCGGCCGCAGCAGCGCCCTGAAACAAGCGAACGCGTGATGCCGTGGGTCGACTAACGCTAGCGCCACCTACTATCGAGAACCACCGAGCGTTTGTCAACTTATGCTAGCGCCATCTAACTTAACTAACGCTAGTAGCGCCACCTATTTGTTAAGGTTCTACATGCTGTTGCTAACTAATGCCAGCACCAACTATAGCTTCATAGACACTAGCGGCGTCATCTAGCCTCGCTAATGCTAGCGGCGCCACCTAGCCTCGCTAACACTAGCAGTGCCACCTAGCCTCACTATTGCTAGCGGCGCCACCTAGCCTCGCTAACACTAGCGGCGCCACCTACTTGTCGAGGTCTTCGCGGCGGTTCGTTGCTCCGAGCACGATGACGCCCTCGTTCTGCCGGAAGCCGTCCATCTCAGCGAGCAGCTGGTTGATCGTCTGGTTCGCGTACGGGTGGAGCATGGAGCTGGTGCGCTTCGCTCCCACCGAGTCGATTTCGTCGATGAAGATCACGCAGGGAGCGCGCGCCTTCGCAGTGCCTGCAACGCGAATTAGGGGTGAGGGTTAGGGTTAGGGTCAGGGTTAGGGTTAGGGGTGAGGGTTAAGGTCAGGGGTTAGGGTTAAAATCACAACTAGCACTCACTGAACAGGTCGCGCACTCTCCTCGCTCCCTGACCGACGCGGGGGGAGGGACGCGGCGTGACGACCATAGGGGTCAGGGTCAGGGTCAGGGTCAGGGTCAGGGTTAAGGTCAGGGGTTAGAGTTAAAATCACAACTAGCACTACTCACTGAACAGGTCGCGCACTCTCCTCGCTCCCTGTCCGACGCGGGGAGGGACGTGGCATGACGACCATAGGGGTCAGGGTCAGGGTCAGGGTCAGGGTTACAATCACAACTAACACTACTCACTGAACAGATCGCGCACTCTCCTCGCTCCCTGTCCGACGAGGATCTCATCGAACTCGGCTCCGGCCGAGTGGAAGAACGGGACGCCGGCCTCGCCTGCGACCGCGCGCGCCAGCAGCGTCTTTCCCGTGCCCGGCGGCCCCACCAGTAACACGCCCTTCGGCAGCTTGGCGCCGAGACGCGAGTACTTCTCCGGGTAGCGCAGGAAGTCGACGATCTCCTCGAGTTCTTGCTTGGCTTCGTCGACCTGGAGCGAGGAAGGAGGAGGGGTG